GAATTTTGCTATGTGATCACGGGCCGGCTCCACCACTTGAAGGGGTGGGACTTAGGCAAGAAGGGGCAGCCTGAGACTAGCTTCTCCCCAGAGGTTTTGAATTAAAAATGCAACAAAGGGCTTGCGGCTCCTGGCCCTGCCACTACTGACGTTGCCTGGAAGCTGTCCAGGGTTGCTGTGGCTATTTAAAAGACTTGCAATTCTGGCCCCCGTCAGCATAGTGCTGCGACTGTGAGCCATTTAAATAGGATCTTGCTTCTTGAGCCACTGCCTGGAAATAAAAGATATAAATAGGAAGTGGCCAGATGCAGTCCACGGGCCAGATGAAACTTAGGTGGGCTGCCTCCGTCCCCAGGGCCTCACCTTGCCCAGCCCTGATTTACATGGACTGACGAGGGATTTGTCATGAGCCTGTGCTTTTATAAGGACTCTGTCTTTCTCTTCATGAAATCTCTCTCATCTATCACCATCAAGTCCTAGAGTCATCAGGGCTATGCTACAGTTGAGGGGACTGATCCTTTGATGTGGCCTCCAACTGAGACACCTCAGGGGGGGGGGGCGGAAGGGAGAGGGGAGGACTGAGATTTAAGGTCTCAGGACAGGTTAATACTTCTGGGGTTCCAGGGTTAGTGGATTTGTGGGGCCCCCAGGTTTTGGGATGGGGTCAGAAATGAGGGGTCCAGTGTGTGGGACAGGCATGGGGGTGCAGAATCTGGGTGGTAGTTAGGGTGCAGGAGCAAGCTGGGAGTAGGTGTCTGGTCTGGGGGGGAAGGCAGGAGCAGGGTGAGGTGAATGTCTGGTAAGTGGGCAGGATGCTGGTGGGTGTCTGGCCAGGGATGAGGGGGCAGCTCAGCCCATTTCTCTGGCAGGAGCCTGCCCGGCCATGTGCTCAGTGACTGAGACACAGAACCGGCCAATAGGATTGTGCTGGGGGCGGGAGCAGCCATGAAGCACTACTCCCCTCCCCTCCCTGCTCACAGTTTGTGGGAAACAAACAGCCCAGCCATGGTTTTTCTGTGCAGCATGCGGGGGCAAGGCAAGTTAGAGGAGTCTGCCTGGGGCTCCCTGCTGCCTCTACAAACCTGATCCGGCCAGTGGAGGATGTTGTGCCCAGGCCTGCTGTAGCGCCAGCACAGGCTGCCTGCTGCGGGGGAGTAAGGGAGTGCTGGGCTCGAGCATCAAAAGAGTTATCTGGCTCCCTAGCGAGCCATATGGGCTGCCTGATTTAGAGCAGGGGAAAGGCTGACTGATATCTTCAGCTCATTTACCCTATTGCCTAAAATCCCTGATCCCTCGTACTGTTCTCATTGTTTTCTTCAGGAGTAGCTAACTTAGAGGGCTGGTGAATATTGCAACTGATTGAGGAGTGCTATAAATGTGTGCTAGGGTTGCCAGATGGTTTAACCAAAAATACTGAACCCCTGGCCCCACCCAAAATAAACCCACCAGAGGAAAAATTCTGTTGAGGGGCAAAAAAAGGGGAGAAAACAAAGTTGTTGAGAAGGAAAAAAAAAAAAAAGATCCCGAGAGTTATTAAGCAAATAAATAAATAAATACAACAGCATTAAAACAGCATGGCCCCTTTAAGTGTGTTCAGAGTCAAACTAGGGATAGGGAACGGTTGAGCACTAAGACCCAGGGAAGGCATTGCTTCCCCTTGCTTGGGGTCTTTAGGCTTTTTGCTGGCAGCCATCTTGTTTTCTTGGTTGAGCCAGAAAGCAGCTTCCCTGCGGAACCAGATAAGCAGGGGAGGTAGGGGCTGGGCTCAATTGCTGAGTGTGTCATAGGGTTGCCAGGTGTCCGGTATTTTCTCCTCCTAGCAAGAGAAAAGAAACAAACTACCGGACATTTTAGGTGTCTAGTATTTTCTGAATTTTTTTACCGGACAGGAGGAGGCGAAAATATCAGACTGTCCGGGTCAATACCGGACACCTGACAACCTTAATGTGTGTTTAGTTTATACTGGATGTGGGTGCACTCCTAGTGGCTAGAAGGATATGTCACTCACTAGGATCTATCACAGGTTGTACATCTAAAGATCTTATTTAAGTACAGAGGTACCTTAAGAATTGCAGCTTTTTTAACCAGCACATTGAACTTTCCCTTCCGTGCTCTAGACTGAACTATAAAACAGAGACCTTTCCCATGCCCACCCTTTCAGCACACGACTGAAAGGGTAAAATGTTAGTTAAGACCTGCAGCAGCACTTGCCTACAGAATGAGCATTCAAAATGTCATGTGTTATCAAAGTGTAATTTTGTCTACTTATTGCTGATGGAAATGGCAGGCCCTCTTGGAGTAATTCTTCTGAAGTAGTCTCTCTTAAATAGATTTTATTAAATAATGGTAAAGTACATTGACTATATATGTGACTTTTTTCAGTCCTATGAGCTGCAGTGGTAAAAGGCAAAGAAAGGCTTTAAACCATTCGCCACTTTTTGGAATTGTAATTTGTGATGTTTTTGTTTTTTAGTTGGAGATCCAATAGTGACCTCATGAAAGCAAAAACGTGATCTTTTGCAATATGAACAGTAGAGAAATGTGCCTGCAATTAAAAATGAAGGAAGGCTAATGTGCTTTGCTGTCAGCTACCTTTCCTGCAATCCCTACTATAGCTTAATATGTGTATGATTCTTTTAGTATTTCATATAATCCTACAAAGTGGAGCCAGAGGAGAGCTAGTTTCCTCTCACAAGATGGATTCTATAACTCTTAATATATCACAGACAGTTCATCTGACTTTCTTTTTGTTTAATAGTGTGCCGATCCAATAAAAGTCCCTGGGTCTGTCTGACTTGTTCAAGTGTCCATTGTGGAAGGTAGGTACAGGACATAATAATTTGGAAATTACTTTACCTCCTCTTTTTATAATCTTTTCATCACTTTCCCTCCCTGCTGCTTGTTGTGTTTAAAACCATCGTCCTGCAAAGGATCTCTAGATATCCCTATTCCATTGTTCCTCTCTACTAGAGTCATTTAAACTCTAATAGACTATCAGAGGCAGCAAGGGGGGACGGGTAGTCGGGAGCGGTTGCCCATGGGGAAATGGCTTTTAAGCCAGCTCCTCATGAGCACTGGATCCCATGGAGCCACCTGCCAACCCAACCCCAGCAGTGTGAGGGGGAAAAAGGCAGGAGCCTGGTACAGGTGGGAAGCTGGCTTTTAAGCAGAGGCAGCAGTGTGGGGCAGGCAGGGAGGGAGCTGGCTCTGAGGAGCCGCCTGTCCACCTTCCCCCTTGCTGCTTCCCACAGTAGGGGTGGGGGAGGCATGATACCAGAGTTCTCCTGTCCATGGAGAACTCGGGTCTGCCACAGAGCAACCTCTGTCTATGGTGGGCCCAGGTGGACAGATGCTGCTCCATGGGATGCTGGCGCAGCCTCTGTTTGCAGGGACCTCGGGCCACCCGTGGACAGAGACTGCTGCCGCCCCGTGGCCTCTGTATAAGAGGTAGCAGCCCAGGGCAGAAAACAGGAACCAGTCTGCGTGGGGAGCCAATTTTTAAACTGGCTCTCCTTGTGGAAAAGCTCCCACCTTCCACCCAGCGCTGCCTCTGGTACAGAGGTAGCAGTGTGGAGTGGCAGGGTACTCCTGGGAGTTGGGCTAGGAGCACCCTGGTTACCAACCCCATCCTTGGGACCATCGAATAATCATCTAATGGATAAGATTTTGTGCAGTTACATGATTATTAAATTAAACAACATCTAACATCCCTACTCTAAACTGGAATATAGTGTCAAAGGAACTAGTGCAGTTCAGTGATTTATACATGCACGCTGAACATTCCTCTCTGCTTTCTATCCATGTGTGCTGAGGTATTTTTCTTTTGATTTAAAAACACAAATAGTTTATTAATGTGGTAGTATCAGTTAATATGGTTTGCCTGTGTTTAAAGCTGAAGACACAGTGAGAGTGGAATAGGGATATGAACCACTAGTCATCTATTGAATAAGCAAATGCTTATCGGATAGTCGACACACTAGTCCAGTGCTGGCCAACCCATTAAATGAAGAGAGCCTAAACAGTGTCGGGGGGACGGGAAGGACGCTACTCCTTTCAAAACTGTGGGTTAGGCTTTTTGGACATATCAGGCTCCCATTGGCTGCCGCCATTTTGCTGCACTGGATGGCTCCCCTGCACCTGGTGAGTACAGGGAGCCATGGGTCGTTTGAAGGGGCACATGGGGCGACTTCGCAAGCTGCGGGGGAGGGGTGGGAGCTTCGCGAGCCACACTTTCAGGGCTGAAGAGCTGCATGCGGCTCATGAGCCGCAGGTTGGCCACCCTTGCACTAGTCGACTAGTTGCTTCCCTCCTTGCTGCTTCTATCAGAAAGAGATGGGGAGGGAGAAAGACGAGGAGGTGCTTCAAAGCGGCAGTGCCGTGTGTAGCCTGGGGCCAGACCCTGGGCTCCACACAGCGCTGCCACTTTGAAATGCCGTGTGAAGCCTGGGCTAGCTGGGGCATCAGGCTCCGCACGGCATTTCAAGGCTGCAACACCGCATGGTGCCGGGGGTCAGCTGGGAACTCCAGCTAACCCCAGGCTCCATGTGGCACTGCCGTTTTCAAACACGGAAAGGAGCATGGGGCCAGCGGGAGACTGCTTGAGTCCCCCACTGGCCCTGTGCTCCCCGCAGTGCTTTTGCCTTTGACGTGTAGAAAAAGCCTCAGGGCTGTTGCTACACTTCAAAGTGGAGGTGCCCTTATTGACTGATCGAATTGTCGATGCAAATTGCATCAATTATTCGATTAGCCAGTTAATCTGTTTAACATCCCGAGAGTGGAATTGCATTTTTTTACTGAAGCACTGCCTGGTTTTTGTCCTTGAAAACTCCTGTTCAGCTTAACAACTTTTTTTTTTTTGATAGACCAGTAAATTCTATTTTCAGTTTTATTTCACAGCCTGCTCTTGTAGAGGTAAGCATATGCTAACTACTGTAATAGTTACTTTCATGTCAAAACCTTCAGCACAAAAAAAATCTGATTTTTCTTGAATTTTAAAATTTAATTACTTTGAGGGAGGGAGACGGGAAACAGTATCATATTCTGAATGATCAGAGGCTGAAATTCATAATTTGGAATATTGTGCTCATTCTTTGTTTTTTACTGTTGTAAAAACCAACCCTTTGTTATATGTAGTAAATAGACTTTGAATTACATTTTTACTTAGTTTGTGTTAGATGTTAAAACTGCTGTCAACCCAGGAATTAAACATGTTTGAATGAGAAAGCACCATCAGTGTGGTCTGGAAATCTCTAAGACGTAGGGAAGCAGCATGATCTTTTGTTCAGGTAACAATTAAAGTACAAAGAGAAAATATTTTTACTGGAAGTGCCACATTGTTCTTTTACCTAGATTTGGGAAGGAGAGAAGAATTATAATACAACAAAAGTATCTCTTGCATTTTCAGATTAAGAACTTTTTAAAGTCAGGCTTAGATTTATGGGCACACCTCAAATTTTGTGAGTAAAAATGTTAATCTAATATGCTTTTTTATATATGAAGACCTCTACAGACTTCTGAATTGCTCTTCATTACATGATCTCAGGTCTAATGCCTCCCAGATTCATGGACTTGACAATAAAATGCAAGAGCTTCAGTTTTACATCACTGTTCATAGAGCAGTGGAGCTTAAAATGGATATGCTTATATGTAGGAGTTAATGTTCAGTTCAAGTAATTGTAGACCTGGTGAATATTGGAAGGAAGAAAAGCAAGGGTATAGGAAAAGTGTACTGGGGGAAGAGAGGGATAAACTAAATTCTGGTGTTTTAATGCGAACAAGGAGAGCTACCGTTCTTGTTGTAAATATGTGATTGGACACACGAGGCTCATAATCACAGGATTGACTTATGAGACCCATGTAGAGTATGTATGCACGTGCATAAATGCATGCCTTAGAGAAAGATAGGATAGCTATTAAAAGGAGCTTTGCAGGAAAAGTCTTATTTTTTTTATAGAGATGATTTGCGGATTTAACACATTAATAGCTGTATTTGGGATTACATCGTTAGACTATTGCTGATATCTTTCCCCCTAAGCTTTGGGTAAATAACTTTAAAAGTTTGAAGAGCTTTTTTTGGTTTTTCTTCTTTCTTCAAGATATGTGAATGGCCATGCAAAGAAACATTATGAAGATGCACAGATTCCTTTAACCAATCATAAGAAAACAGAAAAGCAAGAGAAAGTTCAGCATACTGTGTGTATGGACTGCAGTAGTTACAGTACATATTGGTAAGTAAATGTTTGCAGCATGCTATATGGACTGATTTAGTAACTCATTTGGGACCTGGTGAAACATTCTGCATTTTTAAAACTCATTGTATACACATATTCCCAGCCTTGGCTGTTTCAGAATAGAATCTATATGTGAAAGCTTTCTGCTTTGAGATGTATTTTGTATCTGTGATTGAAGCTAGATTCCTATGTTACAAGTGACAAAAAAAAACCTCAAAGATTTTCATTGTGTATCATGTAGATTTCTTTAGTTGCAGTAATTTTTGTGTAGGGGTATCTAAGAACATATCTTTCATGTTTAGGGGTATCTAAGAACATACCTTATGAAGGCAAATAAGAGTACCAGTGCATTCCAGATCTTCATTTCATAGAGGTAGCCAATGTTGCACAGAATAATCATTTACAGATGGTTCAATTGTGAGTATGGTGAGAGATGTGAGTGATTAAGTAAATATGGAAAATTCTTGCCCAACAGATCTGCTTCCTCTAAATGTGTCTTTGTATCAGCTCTTCTGACTTTCTGGTAGAAAGGCTAGTTTGGCATGTTGAAAGCTTTGCAGAGCCAATATGGCTATTGGAGACTGAGCTAGAACTAGCTTGAGTGTAGAATCAAACTATCAAGCAAATTCAAATAGCAGACTCTTTATAAATGGGGGCAATAAGAGGCAGAATGCAGCCCTAGTTGAGGTTGCGTTGCTAGCAATAGTTCTTTAAACTAGGGATGTTAAATTTAGATTAATTGGCTAATCAAATAGTTGATGCAATTTGCATCGACTATTTGATTAGTCAATAAGGGTGCCTCCACCTTTGAAGTGTAGCAACAGCCCTGAGGCTGTTGCTACGCTTCAAAGGCGAAAGCACTGCAGGGAGCACAGAGCTAGTGGGGGACTCAAGCAGTCCCCCACTGGCCCTGTGCTCCCTGTGGTGTTTCAAAGCGGCAGCACTGCATGGAGCTCAGGGTCAGCTGGGGAGTGGATTCCATGCAGCAATGCCACGTGGAGCATGGCGTCAGACTCCACGTAGTGTTTCAAAGCAGCAGTGACACATGGAATTTGTGCTTCAGCTGGGGAGTCCCCAGCTGGCCCCGAGCTCCAAGTGGCGCTACCGCTTTGAAGCACTCCCTCTTCTTCCCTTCCACCTTGCTGCCTCTTTCTGATAGAGGCAGCAAGGGGGGGCTGACTAGTTAACTAGTCTCCTGACTATCCAATAAGCATTAGCTTATCGGGTGGTTGACTAGTCGATCACATCCCTACTTTAAACTGAGCAAGTGGGATATAGGTGCCATTGAGGCCAGATGATAAATAGGGAACTTTATAGTGCCGGTCTCTTTTCAGAGTATATAACTTGTGTTTAAGACAGCGAAGGCTGGGAGTGGTGGTAGGGAATAGTGATGAAAAATCCCAGTTAATCAGTTAACCTGTTAAACCTAATGCTTAACTGGTTAATCTATTAAAGCGGGATCCTAGGCTGGGGATGTGCCAGACTGGCTGGAGCAGCCCCCAGCCCACAGAGCTTCTGCCTCCAGTCTGGTGCAGGGAATGACTGCTGGCTTCCGGGCTGGGGCTGGCTGCTGGCTGCTGGCTCCCAGCCCCTCTTGGTTCCAAGCCCCCTGCCCGTAGGGTTCCCACGTTTCCTGTGGACAGAGGCTGCTCCGGACACAGGAGTGCAGCCCCTGTCCATGGCAGGCCCCTGCAGGGCTGGCGAAGCTACCTGTTACTGGCTAACTGGAACTAGTAAGCATTACCTGTTTAGGATGATGCTTACCAGTTAACCTGTCACATCCCTAGTACAGAAGTGATGTTCACGATCTTTCTCCCTCCTCCACCCCAAGCAGAATTGTTGACAGCATCTGTTGTTTTTTCCTCTTGGATTCAGCGTTGTTGATACATATGTGATTGCTGAAGGGGAGAGGCAGAATAGTATTTAAACAGCTGCACAATTCTGAAAGTGGTGTTATAACTCTACAGTACTGATCTCCTTTCAATAAGATGCAGTTTTGGGCAGGTAATCTAACATCTTTGTGCACTGTAGAAAGGAATGGTTCCATATTAAAGGTCCTCTGCAAAAACTGAATGAAGTGATTTGAGCCAAGAGAAATTGTTTGTTGCATGTCAGAAAATTAAGAGCTAAGGCTTATGTAATACATGCAGCAATATCAAATGCTTTCTGTGAATTGTTAGGCATAGCAGAATGCAGTTTGAACAGTCTTCGGTAGAGTTTACTTCCATTTATATTAAATTACTCTACCAAGTGAAGAGGCATGTGGTCAGATGTGATAATGTATTGAAGTATCCTGTTGTATGTACAGAAGGTAGCAGAGATGGGGTTGCTGTGTGAAGGTTAGCTCTAAATGTCCTGACTTATGCTGTTAATGTCTCAGTCTTAACGTTGCAATCAAGTTCCTGGTATTGCATATTCTGTATTCTACTGCACTTCAAAATAAGGATGTGGAAAGGAAATTCGTATGGGTAATATTTGGACTTTTGGCTATATCTTCTGTTCCTTTCCCAGCACATTTGAAAACCTATTTTGCAGGATTGCTTTATTGTCTGTAATCTGTCAATATGCTGAGAATTTATGAATTGCATATCTCATCTCTCTAAGGTGTAATGAAATCTGAGTCAAGCTGTATGACTATTTTATTTTCCCAAACAAAAAACAGAAAGCCTTAAGTTCGGAGCTGACAAAGGAAACTGAGAGATTATAATGTGATCTCCAAACAAGAGAGTAGTGCAGCTCTCCTTGTGAGGAAGGTACCTAAGTAGTGTTTAATGGAGTCTGTTATTAAAATGAAATAAATTTACAAGCTACACATTGAACCTCTCTACTCTGGCACCCTCAGGACCTGTCTGGTGCTGAACCAGAGAATTTGCTGAACCACGGGAGGTCAGTATTGTCTAGCAGCATTACAAATGCTTGCACAGCTTACTGGGCTCTTAGAAGATATTTAGGGGTAAATTAGAGCTAAATAATAGAACACAACTCTGAGAGCCAGGGCTGGTGGCTGTATATAAACTTTATAGGATTTTAGGAAACTTGGCCACACCCATTATAGTGGACATCTGACTGAACTAGAGAGGTTCAACATGTACTTATGAGCTTATGCTTGCAGGGGTCAGTAAAGTGAGACAGGATACTTACATCTGCAGTAAAAGAGAAACAAACCAGCATACAAAGCTTCGTCTGCGGTAAACTACGTAAAAAATTGAGTTGTATTGTGGATGAATTGGAATTAAATTAAATGTTTTGCTCTGGGGAATTTATATTGCACTACAGTTCACTAGGAAATAGGTCTGTAAAAGGGTAACTGGTTAACCTGTAAGCATTACCTTAATGGCATGCTTACAGGTGCAACCAGTTGACCAGCTTCAGGCCCAGTTGGAGCAGCTAGGGTTGCCAGATGGTTTCAACAAAAATACCAGATATACTTGACATTACATCACCAGCTACATTACATCTTATTTAGAAAATACCGGACATTTATATTTTCTCATTTATATTTTCTTAATTTGTTTCCCAAACAGAGAACTCAAATACTGGACTGTCCGTTTCAAAACCGGACACCTGGCAACCCTAGGAGAACCCCCTCCCGTGGCATGGTGTGGAGTCCCTACCCACCCTGTCCAGAGCAGCAGAGTGTGGGGAGCTGCTCCAGCTGGGCCAGGCCCGCTGTGCTGCAGATGGAGGACTGCTCCTGCCCAGTCAGGCCTATTGTGCTGTGGACAGCCAGTTAACTATTTATTTTGGTCTATAGAGCAATGACTGTTACTCAACTAAAGCTTACCAGTTCATTTAAATTGTAAAGGTGGATTCCAGTTGTGATTAACTACTGCAATATAATGCTTTTTGAAGTTAGGCAGTGACTTTTTAAATATAGGCAGGATAATGGAAATCACATTTATGTGACACTGATCCTTTCAAGAGAGCACGTATTTAGGACTAAAGTTAGTTTGTCATGCAAACATTGTAGCTAACCACAACCATTCAGAAGTCAGAAATAACAAAACAAGATCCTGAGATTTACTTCTAACTACTAGTACTTCTAACTAACCTAAATTCATTGGCCCACTGAGATTGTCTTCCTCTTGCAGTTCGTGGATTGAGTTTTGAAGCTAAAAGATTGTGTCTAAGGAAGTCTGACTGTTTGAAAGAGGACTTTTCTGTTTTGATTCCCTGTGTGTTTTAGCTTTCAGGAAAGCTGTCTGCTGATGAGAGAGCATATCATCTCTTCAGTTCAGTTCTGGGGAAATGCTATAAACATACGCACAGTGGGGACAGGGAGATTGTAATTACAAAATTAAGATTTGGATCAGCAATTCAGAAAGGTCTTGAACATTTCTGCCCCTTGCACTGAGGTGCACAGCTAGGATATCTCCCTATCCTGTACATGATTTAAAAAACAAAATCTTTGTAACCTAACTCCTCACTGGGTCAGTAATATTGTGACAAAATGTGTGTAGTGAAGTTAAAAGCATAAACTGAAATCAGGTCTGACGTGTTTACCAGACAAGTTTGGGTAAAGCAGTTTCTCAAAGACAAGGAACAAGCTGATACCTCTAGTCATTCATCTAGTCGGTCATATCAGATGGCCATTCTTGGGCAAGGAAGGGGACAGGAAGAAACAGATCTGTATTAGGGATGTTAAAATGTTGAATTCTGTAAATGTGTAACTGCTGACATTTACAGTGGTTATATATTTACACTGGGATGAGCAGGTGGGAGCCGGAGCTTGAGGAGAGCTGTCTTTTAAGAAATGCGCTCTAATTCCTGACCACCCCCTACCCTCTGCTGGTGCCTCTGTATCAGAGGCAGCAGCGTGGGGGAAAGAGACAGGCAGCGGTGCTTGGGGGAGGAACCAGCTTTTAAGCCAGCTCCCTACATATACTGGCTCCTGCAGACGGGCCTGCCCATCCCTGCCTCTGATACAGTTAATCATGTTGTGTAAATGGCTACATGTTCACATTCCTAATCTGTATTTTAGGGTTTGCCAAATCTGG